ATAGTGAATAGTTGGTACGCTTGATGGATTCGTCTAAATGTGAAGTTTAACATTGCACACTGTAAAGCAGAGTACTAAAATTATAGCTGCAAGAAAATAGCCGCAAGAAAGTTGCGGGCAATAAAATTGCCGACTGTAAAACGCCCTTTAAGCAACCGGATGTTAACGAGACTTTGTTGATCTTGGTTTGTTGCGGCTAGAAATATCCGCTCCAAGGTATCTGAAAGTTGTGACTTGCCCGACAATTTCATTATTTATAACCGGTTTACATCTCGTTAGTTCCCTGGCAAATGTCATACATTTTGTCTTGCATATTGACATTTGCATATGAAATTGTGTGCTGACCTGATTGAATCTGTGAAGTTGTCTTTGCAAATTGTCCTCCGTTTCTGCCAATATTGCCGCGTCATCAGCGTAGCAAATTATGCTAATGGGTTTTCTGTTGATCATATACCCCATTCTTAAGCCGCTGATCTCTTCAATGATATCGTCCATAATCAGGGTGAACAGAAACGGGCTTAAGCTATCCCCTTGTCTTATATCATGCGATATCGGTATGTCATTTGTTGTCTTATGATCAACTTTAATTCGGGTTGAATTGCCTGTGTTTAGGCAGTATACTGTTTTATAATTCTTTCCCGCGTTCGTTTTTTCTTCAAGGTGTTGATAATGTCTTCCAGTCGGACAAGGTCAAATGCTTCTGTTAAGTCGGTAAAACATACAAAAGCGGGGGTGTCGAATTCTATTGTATTTTCTTTTATTTGGCATATAATAAATAGGGCGTCAGTTGTAGACCTATTTCTCCGGAATCCCTGCTGTTCGTCTTTAATTTCGATATGTTGTTCCAGGTTATCTTTAATATAGCCGGTGAATCATTTCATGGAGGAGCATAGAAGAGTTAGTTTTCTGGGTTGGTTTTTTGTCCTTTTTTGAAGATGGGTATGGTGAAGCTCTTGTGCCAATCGTCGGGGATTGTTTGTGAGCTTAATATTCCATTGAGGAGTTGCGTTAGTTTTTTGTGAGTTCATTACCGCCATACTTTAAAGGTTTATTGGATATATTGTCCACACTCGGTGCTTGTCTATTTCTTTTTTTATCGGCTAGCTTTTTCACCTCTTCACAGAACCATGGTGTGTTGTGGTTTTGGGCATGAACGTCAATTTGTCTTTTTCCTAGGGATTCTTGCGCGGCTTTATGGATACACGCTTTTATCCTTTCCCAGTTCTCATTGACATTGCCGTCGGTTATATTTTCTACATATAGCTGTTCTCCATTACGTTTCTGATGTTTTTCCAGTGTTATCTTTCCCAGGACTAGATTATGATCCGTGCCAACATTGACTAATGTTAACAATCTCAGAAAAAATAGTAAAAGAAATTAATTGGTATTAAAAACTGAGAAATTGGCAAAAAACTATATCAGAAATACAGCAGCAATGTTTTTCAAGGTAATCTTCCTAATTAACATTGCGCAAATACTAGTTGCTTCGTATTTATTTAAAACTCCGGTAACCATGGAATTATACAGACAGACAATAAGATAGAAAAGGATAAACGGTAAATTCAACAAGATTTGTTGAGGAAATGTCAACCTGTTTTCATAACCTCGAATTTCGGTGTTTAAAAATCAACAATACAACATCAAACATTTGAATGGTTAACTCCAAACAAGCTAGTGCCTGTGTAATCTCCTTATTATCCACTCTTATCAAGCAGCTTCTAGTATTCAGTTAATTA